TTTTGCTCTCCTACCGGAGCTGTGAAACAAGTGTTACTAACAAAGCAATGAAAAGACCCTGTTTACTGAAGAAGAACAGAGGTGGGAAGTGAAGTGGAGCCATGGGTTTATTAGTCCTGCTGCCACTAGCAACACACACACACACACACACACACATAACATATTTACAGTTTAAGGGTGAATAAAACGGACGTGTGAATCCCTTCGTCATTGCTTGGACCATGTATGTGCTTAGTTTAATGATGCACTGATGAGTCTTTTTCAGTTTTAATACCGACAATGATTCTTGGGCTGTGGGCATCGACTGATAACATGCACTGGTGAAATACGTGTTGAATAATGTGTGCGCCTCCTCTCTGCGGAAGGGACTGGGATCATTCTTAGTTGTGGAACTTGGTGTGTAAAGCATGAAACACCTCCTAACTGCTGACCTTTGTTTATTTCCCTTCAGGCTTTGTCAGCTCTCCTTGCAAAATCTTCAATCCACGGATGCACATCGACATGTGAGTGAATTTAATCGATCGGCGCTATTGTCGTCAATACCTTTTCCAGCTATTAGAGGCAGACACATGAAATTAAAAAAAACTATTTGAGAGCTAAAAACATTTGGCTTTTATTCTATATCACTGCCTCTTCCTGAAACAACAAGCGCATCTGTTGACATTTTCTGTTTAGATTCATTTTTAAATGTTGATTTACTTCTCGTTTAAATGTTAACGCACATTTGGGCAGACAACGCCAAAGGTTGAGACTTTAATAAAGTGTTCGTCACATGTTTCTGACTGCTTCAGAGGCTGAGAAAGGTTTTAGTGACCCCTCTCATCAGGTCTTTTAACCTCTGCCTCGCTGTGAAAACCTGTCAGACATGTCTCTCACCCTGAGCCTGGGCCGGGGGGGGGGGGTCAACAGTTATGTCAGATATGTCTGAATCTTCTACGACAACTCACCAGATCTGAAAGCGACACACACACACACACATATGCTGCATCTGGTCTGAGTGGGTTCAACTACTGCTGCTTGATAAAACTGAGAACACGAAAGGTTGTAATTCAAACTACAAGGCTGCGTCAAAATATTCTACAAACCTCCGTAGTTTTGGTTTCTGGTGAGAGAAGGATCTGAAGTGCAGCTCCACCCAGCTCAGACCATCAAACCCTGTGTAGGTGGCTGTCAAACGCTCGCAGTTAAATCTTTCGTGGAGAGGATGTGGTCATGCTGTATGTTGTGGTTAACTTTAAATAACGTCGAGTTAAAATGGTTTCCAAAGACTCACAACATCCATAAATAATTATCCAACCACTCCTACAGCACAACACACGCTTCAATTCATATGCTCAGCAAAAAAGTGAGCTCGTGTTTTTTTTTTGTACGTGAGGCAGAGTTTCTGGCAGCATTTTTACACAATGACCTAAAAATATACCGAGCATCTGAATGGACAGTTCTGTCGTTTCGAGAAGTTTCAATCGGAGTATTTGTGCCATTACGTGAAGGATGCGTGGGCGGGTAAGAGATGACTTACAATGGAGTATCAATTTGAGTTCAGCATTAAGCAACCACTAAATTAAAAGCTCCGCCGAGGTGTTTGTCAGACGATGACAGGATGTTTCCTTGTCTCAAACAGTGCATGTGCAGCTTTGATGTGCCATTAGATTACGTCCCATCGCCACACACATGCATGCAAACTACCACGCCACCAAATATGCTCGACAGAAATCTTTCCAGATGTCACACTGCAGTTACTGAGCATTACAACTGTTACTATGAGAATGAGTCTGGTGTTGTTCCAACCACATCCTCCTAACGCTTGAGAAGCTGTTTGACAAGAACAGAGAACTTAGACTGACTTGTCAATGCCGGTCCGACCCTTCAACAGCCTCAGCACAATATTTCATCATTCGTGGTCGTCAGAGGCAAAAACAACGGCCCTCGTGCACATGTTGGAATGAAGTCAAGGGCTGAATTCCACGATTGACATCAGACAGGAAATTATGAGCTCATAAGTAAAGAACAGGTTGTGATCATGGCGTCATATTTTCTCTCCAAATGTACTTAAATACTTTATAAGTCTTTTTTTTTTTGCATCTGACTGGATTTGAAAACATCCTCAAAAGAGAAAGAGCTTTGAATTTTGAAGGATATCATTTTCACCTCTTCCTGTTTCAAGACGCTTCACATAAGAGTCCACGTCCTCTTGATGGAAACTTAACGTGACACTCGTTTTTGGCTCCAACTTACCAGAAGTCATCATCTCTGCTGTGACTCACTGGATGTTCGCCCATCTGTGTGTTGCGTTGCTAAGCAAGCACCACTACATCATGTCAAACTGACCCGTTGTTCATTTCATACGTCTCGTCGTGAAGGCTTTCATTATGTTGTCTGATGTGGCACTATTTGAACTTAGGTCACTGAGCATTTCAGAATGGTTTCTTGTGTGCTTGGATACCCTGGCACCGGACCACCCTGTGGAAACCTCTATTCAGTGTTTTCCATTAATGAACCTAGACTGTGGCCGTAGTTTAATTTGTCCCACCACAGTTTCACAACGAGCCAAAAATGTTTAACACTTCTCATAATAACATAAAAGATCTATTTTCCTCTTTTCATTCTCTCTCTCTCTCTCTCTCTCTCTCTTGAGCACATTGACTCGTATATTAGTCAGCCGGTCAACACCCATTAAGTTTTTACCGCCTTTTAACACAGAATCATCATTGTAGGTCAACTCCCTTCTTCTCTGTGTGTGCGCAACTCTGCTGCTGCACAGAGCCGACAGACTCAGATTCAAACTGCAGCTTCAGACAAAGTACTGAAGAATAGTATTAGACAGATGAAGTAGTTGTATTTGATGAACGTGGGAACTACAATGGATACACTGAAATTAGACAAATAGGTTATATGTGAAAAAGTCGGTTTGGCCGACGGGCAGGTTACGTAATCTGGGTAACGCGGACTAACTCGGCGACTCTACACCTGCCCTCACTGTGCAGTGGTTGGGCATGACAGTGTACTGCGTGTGTGTTAACAGGGTTGTCACCCCAACCCCGGCAGCTACCACCATTGATGCATCAAATTCTGTGGGAAATACAAATATCAGACACGAAGAGCAACGTGAGGTTTCACACAATGAGGCTTTCTTCAGGCGCTTATTTAACTATTGATTATGAGATAAGCTTCTGTACGTGTCATTAGAGCTGTGGCTCACAGGAGTGGACATCCCAACCGAAACACAACAGAGACAAATGGCCTGGGAGCTGAGGACGGGTCCCTGTGTAGTGAGACATTACTTGAAAGTTTACAAGGCAGAAATGTCAATATTATCCCCATTAGTCTCCAGGCAGATGGCACATCAAAGTTCAACACCCACAATGTGCCAAGAATGTGTTGTCTGCAAAAACCTGCCAGCAAAGAGGTGAACTGCTGAACCCCGTCCACAGCTGGAGAGCTTCCCTCAGGCTGAGAAATCTCACCGAGGCATCAAATCATACACCTAATTATGGTATTGATTATAAATTATAAAGCCAACAATTTCCCTCAAACACACCAGAAACCATTTTAAAAGTGCTTCTCAACTAATCTGTTGAACCAACTCATGCATAAATCTATTCGTCCCTGGGGGGAATTAAATCCCTGAGTGTCTGCTGATTTACTGACCTCTAAAAGACAAATGCAAACAGAAAAACAAGAGGCCTGTTTTCACTCCATCTCTTTTAGGAAACATTTTAGTTCCAGGCTTTGATCATGTTCTCTAGTACAGTTAATATATTAATAATGAACTTGTAAAGAATAATGTCACCATTGTTTTGCCAAGTAACTCCCCCTTCCTCATCTTCAAACTTGTTCCTTTACTGTCTTATGACTGACGTTAGAACAGCGACTGCAGCAGAGCCAAGACTTCCATAAAAAAAAAAAGCTGACATTAGTCACAGAAAGATTCCTCAGACACTTTCAAAATACAGTCGATTACCGCAACGTGATGAAGAGTCATGATCTTTTGTGTCCCTTCAGCAAAGCTTCGATAACACAGCAGTTAGTTGAAACAACAGCTCTGAGATTAAACACAGAGATATTAATCAGTTAAAGGCGTGTTTGTTGTTAACGTGTTCCTCTCAAACACGTCCATGTTTGCATTTCCGTGTGATAAGAGCGGCCAGGATCAGCACCTGGTGCAGGATTAGACCTCAGAGATTTTCTCTGACCGCAGGGACGCCAGTGTTTCTTTTACAGCAATAGAAGATATTCAACTGTGTTACTGAAACACCCGTCCACTAATAGCTAAACAAAGTTAAAGCAGACTCTGATTAATCTGTGTGTGTGTGTATGTGAGCTCAGCATGCACAACATTCAGGGGGCCTGCATGCATTTTAATTACCAGCCACCACATGATCTGCTGCTGCACTGCACTGACTCCACTGTAGATATTCACTTTATGGACAGCCTCATTCTGAATGAAGTACGACACTTTATTTATATGACACGTGCTGTCTTTACTGCCCCCTCTATAAAAACAGCCCTGCACTATTCATTCAATCTTTATCTCACAGATTTAATAAAACTAAACGTATTCTCACCTCCATCATATTTACAACCGCATCCTTCCTCTATATATGAGAGTTGTATTTATATTATTTTTCTCACACTGCTCATTCCTGTATCCCTCTGCTCTCAACACTTTAATTCCCCTTCTGGGAACAATAAAGATCATCTTATCTTATTCCTCTACACACACACACAGGTTATAGCCACATTATTGATGTTTGAGAACAAGGAGAAGCTCTGCTACACACATGCAATGCAAATGACTCAGACCCAGCACTGCAGGATGAGCTTCTCCACGTACTGGCCTGTGTTGTGAAAACCACCTGGACATTATCAGGTGCACACAAAAACATGGACTCATCGCAGACTCACAACATGAGGGCAGGGTTGTTGGGTTTTTTTGCAGTGTAACTTCCAGATCTGTTCGATGCAGATGCACAGGGGAGACTTTAACTTCGAGGGCTTACCTTGATAATGCTGCTCCTGCGTGGTATTTCATGTTTGGCATCCACCAGTCCCACGGAGGTGTTGGCTGCGTCCACCCCGGCTTGGCTGGCACCAGGTGAACCGACCATATTGTCCGATATCCCACAGTCTCCATTCAGCATGGACACTTCGCAATGCGTCTTCCCGGCAGCTGCTGCTGCTGCCTCGTCGCTGGGCACGGCCGAATCCCCGAGATGCAATGGAGGAAGCCTGCCGTCCTCCCCAAACTCCGCCATGGGCACTTCGATCTCACACACACGCACACACACACACACACACACACACACACGCTGCTGCTGGGTAGCACGAGCCTTGTGTTCGAAGCCTCACGCAGATTTCCTGCTCGGCCTCTTGCCTCGCAATACACACGGTGCTGTCACCATCATCTCCCCGGTGCTCATCTCCGGCGGGTTAGAAGAGGGGGCGTCCTCCGTGCATGGTGATCTGTGCAGAGAGAGAGAGAGAGAGGGAGGGAGGGAGGGAGAGAGGGAGAGAGAGAGAGACCACACATGACCAGGCAGCACCACGTTACCTCAGAAATACATGCATTATGTGTATTCATGCACAGCAGCTGCAGAATGAGGCGTGTGGAGGAAGCGGACGAGAACTCACAACAACAACAACCACCAAACAAACACAATGTTCCAATACACATGTGTGCAGATGTTGAAGTTTTGTGTGTGTGTGTGTGTGTGTGTGTGTGTGTGTTGACAGAGGAGCAACAACATCTGCAGAGATCCAGGGTCTCCTCACTCTCCTCTCGGCTTCCTCTACCTTGTCCTCCCCCCCGGTGAGAAGGAGAAGCTCTTCCTGGTTGAGTCGCCGCCGCAGCTGAAGGGAGACACACAGCCGCCGCTTGGTGTCTGCAGAGCCGAGCTAGTTAGCTGGCTAAGCTAACCCTCCTCCTCCTCCTTCTCCTTCTCCTCCTCCTCCTCCTCGCTAGCTAGCTGGGTGAAAGTTAGTCCCCGGCTCCGGCTCTGAGGTCCAGCAGTGTCCGTGGCCCCGGTTAGCGAACAAAGACAGGAGGAGCCTCCAGCAGCAGCTGCAGCCTCCTCCGGTGGCGAGCATGTGAGTAACGCAGAGCAAAGTGAGAGTGGAGCTCGTTTCCATTGAACGAAACCAACACGAGTCTGAGTCTCCAGCAGCTAAACACACTGTGCTGTCAATCAGAGCTAATTATTTATTTTTACAGCCACACCGGGTCCGCCCCCTCTGCACACAAACACACACACACACAAACACACACACACACACAAACACACACACACACTTCACTTCACTTCACTTTTTAAATCACTGCAGAAACTTTGTTCGTCACACTTTCACGTGCACACACACACACACACACACACACCAGCCTGCTCAGATAAACAGCTGTTTCATTTTCTAAATCTTATTGTGTGCTTTGTTTGTGTTTGGATCCAGACCACAGGGTCAGACTGAGATGCAGCCCTTTGAGTGGGACGTTTGAACACACACACACGTTAACGACAAAACACCACAAAATGCGACTGCAAAAAAGGGCCTAAGAACTACACAGAGGTCCACAAGAGAGCTGCATAGAAAAGTCAACAGGGAAACACACACACAGCTGCACCAAAGTGAACAAGAAAAACCACATGCACAACTGCACACGTCAGCGAGACATTTGCATACAAAACACCACAAAAATGCACAAAGAAAACACAAAACCACACGATGATCAAAGAGACAAAACTCACAAAACTGCACGAAAGCCAACAAGACAAAAAAACATGAAAACCAAACAACGAGCAGCATGAAAATACTTATATTACTGCAGCAAAGACATCAAGAAGATACTCTCCAAACATGAACCAAACTCCAGTGGGTGAAAACACAAACACTCATCACAAAACACAAACTCATTAAACGGCGTAAAAACACAAACTCTATTTATCTAATATTCATTGAGAAGTATCTCTGAACGTGTCCCACAAATAGCCTTGGTAAAAGATGTTATTAATATTAAAAGAGGCCAAGTACTCAGACTCGTGTGTGTAAATCCAGGAAACCTTAGGTGCCCTTGGAGATAAAAGAAAAACCAGTCAAATATAAAAAGATATTAAAAACAGAAGCCTTGACAGATCCCTCATCAAAGCAGTTTCACACCAATATTCACGATTAAACCGATACGAGTTTTATCCCTGCTCTGTTTAAGGGTTTGCATGAACAACTGTGCTCATATTTTATATCCGTCCTCTGGATTATTAATATATCTGCCCTCGATGTCAACTCTATTCAGAAGCCACACATGACGTCCCTCAAGGACGGCAGTTATCTCCCAGCAAGCCTCACATGACAAGTGTTTTTCAGGTCAGAGTCACGTCTTCCTTCTTGATGTGGACGCTGCAGGGAGGTGATGGACTAATGTCAGCGGTGAAGTAATACACCCAACAGTCTCCTGCGCTGTTGCATCAGGTTTCCTGTGAAAATAAAACCCCGGCAGCTTCTTATGTGACCCAACAAGCTTGTCACAATCATTTGAAAGATTTTCTTTTTAATGCAAACTATACATGTAGTTCACAGAGGCGACGAATAACGGCCTCCTGTGTTCGAGACACAGAGGGTGAGGGATGAGGCACATTGATCTACTTGTTTTGATGCATTTTTATTCACAGGCCAGTGGTTCAGGTGAAGCAAGAGACGCTAATGTGAGATGCAGAAGCAGGAGAGGTGCATTGTACAACAGAGCCATCTGCAGGAGTGTAATGGTCATTGAATTGTGCTTGTTGCAGAGTGGAACCTTATTTTCTGCTGCATGTGTTATACAAGCCAGAGTTTTATACGCGTGACCTTTTAAAACAAATCAGTGCTTATATCATAACCTCCTGTGATATAACATACAGAAGGATTTCCTCGAAACTAGACGATGGGTCAGACAAACACCCTCAAAGATGTGGTGCAGATCCAGATCCAGATTTTTAACATTGTAAAGGTGATTTGCAAAATGTTCCTAGAGGAGGATTAATGAACCTTTGCATGATGTGTAGGGAACTGGATCCAGCAGCTTCAAATGTGGTTTTATAAGAGAACTGTTGGGCCTGGACGTACATATGTGTCAACGGTGGTTGACGTTGACCGTTTCAAGTGTCAAGAGAAACACTGCTGTGTAATATTTACCCATAATATCTTGAGTGTGTATGAAGGAAGCTGTTCCAAAATATACCGTCAGCAATATTAGCACCTGCAGCATCAGATACATATTTGTAATTTATATTAATCAAATTGCACTTCAGGATCGAGGACCAAGCAAAGTCCTGTGAAAGTAGGTTGATGTAGAAATAAAAATTATGAGTTCTTGAAGTGTAATAATTAAAGATGCAAGACATGGTGATGTGTGTGTGTGTGTGTGTGTGTGTATATGTGTGTGTGCATGTGTGTGTGTGTGTGTTTGTGTGTACTCGGGGCTCCTGATAGACTTGGCTCAGCTCTGGTTGTCACAGAGGAGTTGGCACCAGTCGTCTGTTGGCAGCTGTTACGCAAGTCGCTGCGCTGAAACAGTTTCCCTCTAAATCCGTATGCTGGAGGATCATTTAACAGTAGAAATGGCACGTTTACCCAGAGGCACCTTGTGCTCTGGCACTCAGAGCTTGACGAGGGCCGCTCTGTCTGGCTGCAGCTGCTCCGGTTGACAGTGTTTGTGGCTGTCGGTGCTTTGTCGTCTTTGAATGTTTGCACAGACTGTGGTTTGAACTTAGTTGACTTACTGCACAGTGTTGGTCAATTGACTCGCTGTCTGTTTTCACAGGGCTTTACTTCAACAGAGCGATTTCAACATTAACCACAGAGTAGCTGCTGCTCTCTCACTCTCACCGATCAACCTGCTGTTCAGACGATAGTCAGATGTGCTGGGTGGCGACACGACAAGCTTCAAGCATCGATGTATTGTCACCTCATGAAGCTGGTATTAAAATCGCCTATTTAACGTGGCAACATTAACCTTTTGCATTTATTGGAGTCCAAGTCCACGTTGTCCACTCGTAGATTTAATTCTGCACATATCCAGGTTTATAAATGTATCATGGGTTATTGCTTGAAAACTTTTACACGCTCAGATTTTGAGAAAACACATTCACACTCTCCTCAAACTGTCCCCTGCTGCTGGACCTTTAATTCTGCCGCTCTGCTGTGATTGGTCAGGGAACGTCGGCCTCCACCCGCTGGGTCTGTCTTTGCCACAGTGATCCGAATCAGAAAAGTCGTGAGCCATTAAAGTGCACTGGGGTGGGTTAGCTTAGCTTAGCCAGCTAACAAGCTCGAGCTTGAGTCTCTTTATTCTTTTAAAGGTTATCAGTATGAAAAAATCATTTCAAGTTACAAATATTGATTAGTTCAGATTATATTTAAACTCAACAACATGAAATAAGTGCAAGACTGTGAATATTTTCCTCCGGTGAAGGATTTTGATTTCATATGTGAGACATGACACATTAGAAAACACTTCTCAAACATCCTCTATAGATTTTTATTCCAGATATTTTCTGCTTGTGTCATTATTATATTCTAAAACAGCTTACATAGTATTGGCTTACTTCACAGACAGAGAACCAAATGAAGATGATGTCGAGGTCAAACATTTTCCGACTGGTAGAGTTATCTTCAGGCTATTGGAATGATTTTGTCGATGCATTTACATGCAGCCGGACACCAGGCATACACCAGCTTGTTGCCACATCCAGTCGTGGCTTTCAACGTGGGACAGTTGATGTACTTATTTATGTAAGGACAAGGGTTGGCTGCAACGGAAAGGAAAATACAGCAATGAAGAGGTCTGTTTTCTGCCTCAGTGGACAATGTTCATGTTGTATAATATCCTATTCACCACACAGAGAACGCACATGTACTGCTCACAGTATCTGATCGTCTACTTACTGCATAGTTTGTCTACACAGGCACCGGGGCAGGAAGCACACGCGGGTCCCACTTTATAAGGCGGCCATCTCCTGAAGTTTCCTCTGTCAAATAAATTACAAAATGGACTCCCAGATGTAGAGGTTTCTCACATGCACAACAAACTGACGTGTTTTAAGCGTGATGAGGGTGAACGAGTTGTCACGTACGCTCGATAGTAGTGGCAGCCATAGAAATAGATGTTGTTGGGGCATACCGCCATTCCGCAGCCGACTTTATAAGAGCTGTTCCACACCACCTGACGGCAAAAACTAAAAGTTATCAGCTTTTGTTGAAAAACGTTTATAGTGATATGCATATTTAGTTGGGGGGGTTTATTTGAAATGTGAACATTGATGAAAGACTGTTTTCTTGTCTATGGTGGAGCTGTAACTACTTTTTATTATTTCATGTTATGTTGTCCGTCCCATTCCCTAGAACACGATATCTCAGGAATGCCTTGACGTCAAAGGTCAAATGTTAAGGTCACGGTGGTCTTACATAGTATGTTTATGTTTTCTTGAACATGATACTTACTAAATACTAAATTTGGTACAAAACTCAAAGGTACAATGTACAAGGATCCTTGAAATGAAAAAAGTGTCTAGAAATATGTTCACAGAAACTGCTGTTTCTCAAAAGGACATAGAAAAACATTAACTTAGTTTAGAATCATTCTTTTGGCCACCTGATGAATATAAGCTCCATTTTCACCCATTTTACCTCAGCATTTGGTCTCCTCCATCTCAGCAGACAGTACAATCGGGGGAAAAAAACAAAAACAATGAGCTGATAAACACCTAAACACTTCTCAGAACTGAGAGAACTGCAGTACCAGGTGGTATTTCCCTGTGTAACCGACCAGTATCAAAGCAGTACAACTACAGTTTGACCTTTTTCTTCTTTCTGCAACTATAACATAGTTTATTTTTAAAAACCTCCACCATGATCCTCTCTGTAACCCTGCTGTTACCTGTGTGTAGTGACCGATAGCCTGTCCGTTGGTGGATCCGTTGGGATACAGGTAGTGTGCCACCTCGCTGTGCCAGGCATCGATGACGGCCGTCCACGGGTACGGTGCGGACGAATAGAACAGATTCTCACCTAATTGATATCCTGCTCAATGGTGAGAAAACACGAGGCGGCACTGATTAATGCCTGTCTGCAAATATACAGTCTAGCTCTCATGTTTGAGTCGATTACATTATTTGGATAAAACGGTTCATTAAAATGCCTGTTGGTGATAATCTCCTGGATGATAACATATCGGTGTAATGTATTTTTTAAAGGTATTTGGACTGGAGATTAGAAAACGCTGGCTGTGACTCTGACATTCACAGGGTGAGTCGGTTCGCCGAGGTAGAATTTAAGGTCCTGGTGTCTGGGTGGGGGGGTGAAAGGAAAAAAGAAGAGAGATGATGGATAAAAGAAGGAGAAATATACCCTTGAGCATACGGGTGCTGGGTGCTCCATGAGCCAGAATGCATTTGTCCACCCAGGCCTGAGCACTGGCTGCCACCTCATCACTATAGTTCTGTAAAGGTAGAAAAAAAAAAAAAGAACGATATAACAAATCAAGAGTTTCATTTCCAACGCCGTAGAAAAGATTCATTCTCTTGCAAGATATTGGTTTTGAAACTGGATGATTCATGATTTGAAGAACTGATGGAATTTCAAAATACGTTCCACCCTGCCCCATAAAATATGAAAGGGTTTTAACTCAGGTTCGAGATGAGCTCTCTCGTACACCCCAAAGCCCAAATCTGAATTTCAATACAAGTGTTTTTTGGGTTTTTTTTCCTTCCCCCATTTACTCCTCTGGAGAAATGTTGCACCTCCAGACATACAGCTCTTTTCAAAAGGAAATGAAATGTCTCTATTTTTAACTCGAGTCAGATTTTCACCAGATACAGAGCGTTGGTGGTGCCGGGACTCAGTTCTTTCACTGAACGTATTTGAAAGCAATGATGTCATCCGTTATCTATACTGCATACTTTTATTTTTGATTCTAATACGATCTCAGCTTCACTTTTAGAGACGAGTACCGACCATCATCAGCATGTCAGACGCTGACGGCTCAACCGCTCTCCTCAGGGCATTGTGTCGGTCAACGATCTCAGCCTGAACCACTGCGTTTTCTGGGCAAACGTCTGCACACACAGACACACACACACACAGACACACACACTCACATGTGTAAGCATAAGATTAAAACATAATAAAGAGTGATATTTACTCTGGTGGTTTATTATATCCACAATATGACTCACAAACATATCCTGGTTTAATTACTCTGGAATGGCTGAACATAATAAAAGAACACACAGAGAGGATTGTGCCAAATCCCATAATCTTGTTTGGAGACATATTGACATGGTCCTCAAGTTGACGCTGGGAAATATAATTCCTCTGTAAAGTCAAACACGCCTGATGTATTTGACTCTAACTGTGCTCACCTTGCTGAGGGACGCCCCAGGGTGCACGGCAAAGTGTGGAGGAGAAGAAAAGGAAAAGTTCTCATCAGGAAAATATTGAAGTGAAAATACAAAACTACATTTATGAGTACAACTAAAGCTAAATTTTAACTTTAGGACCGAAAGTAAGAAGAATCATTGCATGTGGTGGTTTTTCTGTCAAGTAACATTAGTTATTGACGCTTCAATATGGGTTTATAATAATTGCTCTCAGGTGTTTTTCTTGGAAGCGTAAAAAATTTTTTTTAATACTTTCAGTACACTAGTTTTAAGCCATACTCAAGTTTGCACTTAAGCAAATAAGTGAAATGAAACACACTTGAAAATACACAAAAAAAGATTCTAGTATTCAATAACATGTTTACCCTTTAACTCACCAGAACGCAGGCAGAGTGAACCTGCCGCAGCGTCAAGATGCAAAGCAGGAGCGCAAACATTCTGTCGACAAAAAGCAAAACACCTGCAGTACAATGAAAACAAGGCAAAATGGAGACCTACTATATGAATGTCATGAATATAAAAACTGTTTAATAATTAAAAAACAAACAAAACAACATGCATCTCAAATGATCTTCACCTTTTAAATTCAACGTCTGACAAAAACAGTAAAAAGCTGAAAAAAATTCTCTCTCTAAATAAGTATTTGTTTGAAATATATACAAAAACAAATATGTCAAATAAATTTGAGGAAAGCTCTGGGAGACGTACCTGCACCGGGGTCCTGAGGAGGTGGAGGTGAGTTGGGAGTTACCTCTCTTCCCTTTTTATAGACAGCTGCTCACTATCGTCAAAGACGCAGCAAATCCCCCCCCGGCTCTTAATGATGCAGCGGTATCCAGGACTACAAACAAATCTATCACACAGCTCCGAAGACGGTTTTTCTTCAAAAGAGTGCAACTGAGCAAACAAGGACATGTTAAGCTCTCGGGTGAAGTCACTACCCGATGTATTATCTGAAGTTTGCACATCATGGAATGGAAGGATGTCTTAGGCCAGGGTAAACAAGGGAAATGGAGGCTCTGGAAGATTTCAAGATGGAACTGTACGGTCGTGTATGTAAATGGATTAAAGCCATACAGCTCGTTTAGGAAGAAGACGCACCCATCATTGGCCTTTGCACCAAAGCAACACATCCAAAACATCATCTGATCACCGTGGGTGGGAGCAGAAATGGTTTTCCACATGTGTTTGCTTGAATGAAACAAACAGGAGTCTGCATTTATTTAGCTGGGGAAGATTAAACAAAATGTATAATAGTTTTTCTTCCAGCAAACCAGTTTTTTTAAAGCTGCAAAATAATAATAATCTGTGTGATGTAGAAGTTGTTCTTTGTATAAAATCATTAATTCTCGTCTGCAGACCATTTTTAGCATCTTTTAGTTTTGCTGTTGTGTTTCTCGCTCGCTGCTCTGATCCGTATCGTTTCCGACCGGCAGCGTTCAGGCAGAACCTCCGATGGATCCACCGTCAAAGACCTGTCCAGACTCAGATGGTGGAGAAAGTTGTGAAGTCAGTGGAACATCTGGCGCCTGTTGGTAGCTGGTGGAAACCAAGACAGAGCCAACAGGAGAGAAATGATTAGACCTCCTTTCATCAGTTCACACAAACAAGACTTGAAGCGAGTGCTAATCATTGCTCGGTGTCGTCTGCATGTGTAAATACACTTTTACCACAGCAGCTTGTTTTAATGGCCTCACACTGATTTATAGTCACTGTGGTTTCTAAAAGCCCAAATAAAGGCCTCACTGTCCCGACCACACACTACGACAACGGACCACAAAGCACCAAAGATAAATAACAGTCTCACTCATTCTAAGTTGCGTTTGAGTGAAACAGTAGATAATGTTTAACTATTCGTATATTCAAGTAGTTTATTGCTCCAAATCTTTCCATTGGTGTAGCTGAACTATATTATTTGTTTTATTTGGAAACTGCAGTACACGTAGTAATGTAGTGAGGACTTGGATCGCTGATACTTTGTGTGAACAAAGCACTATTTTATCTTCAGGCAACATTTTCCTCTCTGTTGATTCTCGATTGTGCGACTTAATGCACGACGAACATTACGCTGCTATCGCCTTTTTACCTAATGCATCGCTGTGGTATTTGTTAGTTGGAGTCAAACACTCACTGGTCTTGTTTCCTCATATTTTTTTTTTTTATTCTTAAGCATGGTACAGTGGATTATTTAAAAATACAAATAAGAATGTTTATATTTCTCACACCTGCTTTAATGGTCATCATGTCAAGAACAGTGTTGTTGAAACTGAAAACCAATTAGCTGCTGAATTTTTCCTCTGTGATTATTTTTCTCGACCCTCGGAATATTTTTTACCTATTTTAAAGAAACGAGTTTGTCCCAGTTATGATTCAACTGATATAAAAACAAGACCAGAGCTCATACAGTGGTTGTGAGACTGTTCTCCGACACAGCTTTTGAGCAAACGGTGCTTACATGGTGAGCTGACGTTTAGCATCAGCACAGCAAGCTAATATTATCAAGTACAGAAATCCAGCCCTCAGTCAGTTTGCTCTCCCCTGTCACTGATAATAAACGCTCTATGTGATGATGGATTTTGTGGGTGTAGCACTTTATGTACTTACGGCGTTGTATACATTCAGATCCGCTTTTCTCAGAACAAAAACTCTTCCTAGGAGGTGAGAATGAAAGCACACCATTTAAAATAATAGTAGCCATTACAGAATGGCAGAGAGCTCTGCAGCCGCTTCAGGCGAACACCCCGGGCAGAAAACTGACAGCCCGATGCCGAGCGGTGGCTTTGTGGTGAAGATGTGAGGAAGGTTGGAGTCTGGTTGAAAATCTTTTCCTGGCCACCCCCTGCTGCTGGATCTGAATTCAGGTTAGAGAAGATATAAAATACCCCTGAGTACGTGTGCACTGCTCAAGAGTCTGGACTACAGGGTTTTAAAGTGGTTAAGTGGAATTTCACACTTTTTCCCAGAGTCAGAAACTAATAAATACCTTTTATGTATTTGGTTTAAACATAAGTTGGTTTAAACAAAAAAAAGGTCAATTAACATAACTATCCAAAAATGAGGAAACCCAAGTGAGTAAACAAAGGTGTCACGAGGTCTGATGGGACGCTCACAGTCTCAGACTTTGAAAACCTCTTTTTCTATTCATCCGACAGATTCAGTTTATGAATTTTAAAAATATATATTCAATTAAATAAACACTAAAACGATTTATGATTATTATGGTTGCACAAAATGCTAACCTGAGCTTTGTCTGACACGTTGTTATGTGTTCGTTCAATCATTGCTTTGTTCAGCATGATCACACAGAGCAGGAGACACATGACACACACTTTTATATATTTATACATATTATTTGGACATTAGGGAAGCACAGTGTACTCTCCACTGGGGGGCGCTGTCACCTCAGAGGAGCTGTGGAGTCAGCTGATGTCCAATGACAGAGCAGTTGTCTTTGTATGAAACAACAGAGGCGGTGATTGAACAGTGCTGTTATATGGCAGCAGCATGAAGAGACTCATTTAGCTCCCACAGTGATGAGTCTCGCTCCGCTCGCTCTCCCGTCCCATCGTCTGTCTGTCTGTCTGTCTGTCTGTCTGTCTGTCTGTCTGTCTGTCTCGCTCCTCAGCCACTCATGTAAGACTGATGCTTCCACAAACAGGAGCTGCACAAACACCAGGCTTGGCTGATTGTCTTTGCAGCTCCACTCACATCATTCGTCCCATCACAGTCGCTCCACACTTCCCCACAGATATCTGCATTTGGAACCGTGGTCGTTTGGGCAGCAGGGTCAAGTTTTTTTCACCAAGTTCTGGGACATTAAACGCAAATAAATTAAAACCAAACCCACTGAGGGGAAGATTTGAAGATAAAATAAATGTCATCTGTGTGTTTTTCACCTTTTCAGGTTGAATTAGCCAAATTACCCAGATTCTAAAACACGTTGGCAATCACGATGTGGGAGAAACCAGTCGAGCGTCCACCCCAACGTTCACAATCTCACCGTCTTTTTGTTCTTGAATTCCAACCTCAGGTCGCTCCACGGGTGTCTCGGAGACAGGATTTGCCAGATTGCCTCTTCTCCCCCTCCAGCGTTGAACCTTCTTTCATGTGAAGGTGGTCTGATGTAAAGAAAGAAATGGGAAGTCGTACATAGCCTGGATCTAGATTTGTGCTGGCAGTTTCTGTTCTTGTGATGAAAGTGCGATGGAGCTCCTGATGTGACAGCAAACACAGGCAGGAATTCTTCCATCTTTAAAAGAGACGTATCATTAATTTGCAGCCTGGAGTTAGACTGTCGTAATGTCTGAGCGACACAATGAGGACTGCAAAGACAACTGTGGCAAACGAGCGGGTGGATCCCCTGTTAGGCTAAACACGACTTTGAGAAGAGCCCAATGTCATGAGGACATTGTGAAGGACCAGTCAGTCTCAGTGTGTGGAGCTCTTCACCAGTGATTACTGAAACTCGTCAAAAGGAAAGTCATCCACTCTTCTGTTGTTTATCTGGGTTTCGTCAGGCGTCACTTTAATTTACATTTCATCATTTGATGAATTTTCATGTTTTCACTTTAAGTGCAGATTGTTCAGCCTTTTTAAAGATGTAACCGAGCCTCTGGTCAACTCTGTTCACCTCCTGGGTCAGTGTGTCACATGTTCTCTCTCAATATTAAAGCATGACACAACAAATCAGCTAAAAGTGCCTTTTGAAATGACCGGATCTTTAAACCGGTAGATTCTTCTCGTCCATCTGAGAGGCAGCAGATGCACAAACATATTCACCTTGTATGTTGTCATGAGGAACTTCTTGCTTTTGTCCACATCAATCAGATATTGAGGATTCATTTAAAGTTGTTTTCCTGGGGAGCAGATGAATGCAAGTAAAACTTTACCCCCAGTTTTGGTCTTTGGCGGCTAAACGCTCCAATGAGATCACAAGCTCGTCATAAACTTCCTGTTCCTGCCTTTCACTGCAGCACAGGTTATTTAGTGATCCGAGCTTTTCTGCTGCTGCTGCTGAGGGAAAAGCTGATTCTATGAGAACAGCGAGAGTAAAATCAACACAGTGGCCAGAAAACTCAAACGAGGACATAAAACACTGTGAGGTGCAGCTGCAGAGTCAAGTGACTTCCACATACACACGTCGTTGCTGTGCGATCTATTGTTAATAACACATTCAAACCCTGTCAGCACAAAACTTCTGTTCTGTCGACTCACACAATCCTTTCCTGTGGCCATCAACACATCTGCAGAGTTAATGATGCAGACTGACAGTGATGGAAACTTCTCCCCTGATGTTGCAGAGCTGCCTTCACCTTCCGACGAGGACGCTCTGGACCAACGTGCACGGTGGTGGTGGTTGTGGTGGTTGTTGTGATTGTTGTGTTAGTAAGCTGCAGTTTATGTATCATAAGTTTCCCCCCTGAACGGTGGTTCATAC